TCAGCCTGGTAAAGTTTTCAAACAGTGAACTGAGACTGCAACTATTAGTGAAATCTATATTAAAGCTCTTCAAATATGATTTAGATTTACAGTAATTGTTTTTCATGTTTAAATCTGATTTATTCTTGTGTTTAAAGCGTTTGTCATTCCTCTACTTCAGTGTCTCAGACTCATTCAGAAATGATTATTAAATGCTGGATTAATGCACAAGAGAGTTTGGCGAACACGTTTTACACCATTTCAAATATATATTATATGTGCGGCTGTATAAGTCACATACAGCGCTCAGCATAATGGAGGACAGCCCATTCTGAAAACCAAGACTTTCCTCCATTTCTCAGTCAATATAGGCAGTGTATTCTGCTGCATTTAAACAGAACACATTTATTAAACTGATTTATTCATGAACATCATATTTCAGTCACCAAACATATTCAGAAATTGAAAGATAATATAATATAATAACATAATAATAATAATATATAACATATTACAATTAAAATAAATATTGCAAAAACCCAACTAAATTTCAGCAATTTTCTTATTGTTTTGCTTCTCTTGATTTTTCCTCTTTTTAAATTTGTATTTAATATTTTTCTATAACACATAGATTTAAGTGCACTAGTTTTTGGACTGTTATCTTAAGTTATTTTGTTAGATGAGCTCCAGATTTGGCTAATCTATTGTATATGCACACATATAATACTGTAGAGCTTCCTATTAAAATATCAATGTAAAAGAGAGATTAGTGAGGGCTGTACTTATATATGCTGAGCTCTGTATATTGTTCACCCAGAGTGTTTACATGGTCACACAGCAGTAACACAACAAGCATTGAGTTTGGGCTAGCTTCTGCAGATGGACATTGCTGTACACTGCCCTTGATGGGTGAGTGGGGGAGTGTCTGTTGTCTCTCAGGTGTGAATTATTCATGAGCATTGTCACTCACACATACAGCTGAGATCACCCAAAACACACTTAACAAAATGTAGATCATTGTAATGTTTTCTCTGAATGAGAGAACAGAATAATTTCACATAATTGTGCAGTAAATATTCTAGTCTACAAGACTGCTTACTCTAAACTCTTGTTCAGACACATTCGGTGTGGTTTTTTTCCGCTAAAACCTACTAACCACACATAATATTTATTTCTAAAAAACACCAGCATATACATCAATATTTCCCACATATTATTGTAGCTCAGTTTGTGCTGAACACAAATGAAACACATGTTGGCCAGTTCTGTGTAATAAGTAGCTGAAATCAGCACAGATGTCAGGGCATGTCAAAACATCTCAGGGGCCCCAAAATCACCTCAGACCCCTGAGGGTTAACTACAGGTATAGTATGAGCAGTGTGAAACACAATTACTGATAAACCAGAATTCCTGTTATCTGGGGTTTAGTATCACCCAGGGTTAACATGTTCAAGCATGAAGAGCTCTAATATGAAACTGTCTGACTGTAGTTATTGTAGAGTGGAGAATCATTTACCTCAGTGTGTCCAGTTTACAGTGTTGACTCTTCAGTCCATCAGAGAGAAGCTTCACTCCTGAATCCTGCAGGTCATTGTTACTCAGGTCCAGCTCTCTCAGCACACAGTTTGAGGATTGTAGAGCTGAAGACAAACTCTCACAGGACCGACCAGTGAGATTACAGAACTGTAGTCTGTTTAGAGGACAAACACAATATTGATTGAATATTGTTGATCTGGTGTGTTTAATAGTCTGAAGCACATCTGACTGTAGCAGAGATGGCAAAAGTACACACATCTGTTACTTAAGTAGAAGTACAGATACTCAAGTTTAAAACGACTCTGGTAAAAGTAGAAGAACTGACTACACTTTTAAAAAAGTACACTTAAAAAAAAAAAGTAAAACGTAGCAGTTTCAACCACAGTCCAAATACACGCAGTATAGGGGAATAATAGGTAACTAAATAGGCAGTAGTGTATAAGTGTGTGTGTGAATTGGTGTTTCCCAGTACTTGGTTGCAGCCGGAAGGATATCTGCTGTGTTAAACATATGCTGGAATAATTGGCGGTTCATTCTGCTGTGGCTACCCCTGATAAATCAGGGACTAAGCTGAAGGATAGTGGGTGAGATAGGTAGGTAACTAGTCCTCTCATACTATTGATACAATATTATAAACTAACCTACATTTACAATTTGCATGTAAAATGTTTGTTTCCAATTTTCTGAAAGTATCCAAGCAGCATCACGTCCTGTAATACTGTACAACATTGCTCATAAAGTCGCTCATGTATCATCATCCTGACGCAAACTCACAGCGTTCAGCATCAAGTTTTGTGGCCGTTATCAAAAACATCAGCTGCTATTCACGTTCATACACTCTAATGATAATTCTGTAGGCCTGTCTGTCTTTATAAATAATGTTTATATATATATATACATACACAGTGAAATACTTTTTAAAATAGTTTTTGTTTATTATTATTTTAATAACAAAACTGATAACAATAATTTTCTGTAGCATCTTTAAAAGTTGCATCTCAAAGCACTTTTCAAAATAAAGTAAAACAGATGCATAAATAACAGAATTAAAGAAAATAAATAACGAACACACAGAGAACATGTAAACTCCACACAGAAACCACACATGTAAGAACAGTATCCATCTGAAAATGCAGGATTGCAATTATTCAGCAAAGCCTTTATTAACAAGGTAAAATACTAGTATTTTTGACCAGTCTGGTGAACAGTTTAAAGCCATTAAATCTTTAAAAGGGCTTAAAATAGTTAAAATCCTCTTTGCAATATCAGTGTACAGCAATAGTTTACAGCAGTGTAGATTTACTGTTGTAGATGGTGCTACAGTGCACGGTGCTCAGCTATAGCACTGAGTAAATAAGTAGAGCAATGACCAAGCAGTAAACTCCCACTCTCCCTCATGAAGCTAACACAGAAGTACCTGCAACTGCAATTCATGGAAATCCCACTACTCACGGCTCCTTAAAGAGCAGATTTCTATTGAGCCCACTGTTAAAATGGCCGACTTTACAGCAGAATAAAGGTGTTTTGGTTCATATGGCTAATATTAGCCTTCATGATAACTGTGAGGGGGGTGATGTTTCTTATGACTCATCTGTTTTCCTTTATTTCTTTATTTTCCTTTATATTAAGTCTGCATAATTATGGGCGTGGCCACTTTGAGTGACAGCTAGGTCTCGCTGGTCGCCGTCTCCTCACCTCAGCTGATTCCGGCTGATTAGCTGCTGAACTCGATGTATTTTTGTGTTGTTTATGCGGCTTTACACAGTCAGTTGTCTTTTGGAATAGTCTCCTACAAGAATCAGATGATATGGCATGCTGTGTGCACTTCACAAACCATTCATGTGGCCTCCATTTCCCAGGTGAGTGAAATGATATACTTATATAGCCTCTCTATAAATGTATTTGTTTTGTATAAGATCATTCATCATTTAAATGCTCTTTAGAGCTGTAATGTGCTCCAGAATCTGTCAGATTGATTAGCTGCAGGCTCTAGATCAGTCATCTGAAGTGTTGTCATACAGTGTTATGCTGGAGTTCGTCAATACTCTTGTCTTCTTGTGTTAAGTCTTGTGTCCTTTATTTGTCCTTTGTTTAAATAGCGCTTGTTCAACACTTTGGTAAAAGCTTGTTGTCTTTAAAAGCGCTTTAAAAAATAAACATTGTCTTGACTTGTCATTGATTTATTATTCCTGTTTGCTTTTTGAGCACTGTTGAGCGAGTTCTTAAACACCTGTGATTGGTCATCGTGTTCCTCTACAGAGATGATGATGCTGATGACTGCGCTGATCACAGCTGATCCATGACAGACGCAGTGGAGAAAACTCGTTCTACAGACAGCCTGGATCCACAAGTATCACCGATAGCTTACATTTAAATAGATTTGTCTTTTTTATTCAGTCAACTCATAGATATAATCATATAATCATTATCAATGTGCAGAAACGAATAAAATCACATCCCTGCATTTTTTTTGTTTATTATTCTTCTGCCAATTTACCTGAAAGGGGTTCCACATTTGGTAACACAATATGTAACTGACTGTAGTTATTGTAGAGTGGAGAATCATTTACCTCAGTGTGTCCAGTTTACAGTGTTGACTCTTCAGTCCATCAGAGAGAAGCTTCACTCCTGAATCCTGCAGGTCATTGTTACTCAGGTCCAGCTCTCTCAGCACACAGTTTGAGGATTGTAGAGCTGAAGACAAACTCTCACAGGACCGAACAGTGAGATTACAGAACTGTAGCCTGTGTAGAGGATAAACACAATATGTTTGTGTTGATCTGGAGTGTTTAAAAGTCTGAAGCACATCTGACTGTAGTGACTGGTTTAACTTCACTAATTAGTGAGAACATCTGCTGATTTTAGCATTTATTAGTTTTAATGTCTATGAAAAACAATTAAATGGCTTCCTTCAGATGTTCCAATAGCCCAACTCTTTATTAAACTCCTAACACAGGTTTTTTAAAATTCATCCTTCATCTCAGATAACAAACTCACAAAAGATCAGTGTTGCCAGATGGAGCTGACTGATTCCAGCACAAAAGCTAATGAAACCCGCCCAGTCAACACTGCAAAAGATATGAGAATATTTTATATGACTCTCACATGCTTATTCTGAATATATATGTGAAAGACTCTTGTCAGATGATATTTTAGAGAGCAGGCGTGAGCTTCAGCTGTGTCCTCTGTGTCATTTTCTGTCTGATTCAGGCTCACACTGATACGGCTAACAGCTACTCTGACTGAAAGGATTTACACAGCACAAAAGTGTGTGCTTGTAGAGCCGTGACACTTTTCCTGGTGACGTGAAGCCGATCTGCAAATCACAGCACAATACATTAGCTGACCAATCAGAGCGGACTCATTCATTTCAGAATGAAAAAAAAAAAAAAACATCAGTGTGATCATTCAACTCTCACCAGGAAGAACTTTTGGGGTGCTATTTCATTTTATAGCTGACTTTTGTGCAATTTCCACTAATAAACAATGTAATTTACTGGCTTACTGGTTTTTTTATGAGATAGTTCTCCTAAACCTTTACTCTCCATTAAGGGTGCTTTCACACTTGGTTTAATTGCCTGGACCGTGCCCAAGTTCGATTGTCCCCCCTTGCCTCCTCCTCGGTTGGTTTGTGTTCACGTTGTCTTTTTTCCTTCTGAACCAGGTACGCTTGCGTCATCAAGCTGCTGTTTTGTTTACGGCCATTTCTAAGTGAAGGTGACGCAAGCAAGCGCCGCTCATCGTGGTCATTCTGCTTTTACTGAGTCGTTTGGTTTTGGATATACAGTAAGCGACTGGCGTCTATCTGCCGCAAACATATTATAAACATTCAGAACATCACACAGTGTCTGCAGGAGCTGTTTTTGGAGGAGACAAGCAAACATCACTGAGTATCACTGTTTGCCCTGTCTCAGTCACAGTTGTCACCAAGATACGAAACGTGACACACACACACACATATACACAAACAAACATTATGAGAACGATAGTTTGTTGTACAGTTGGCAGTTCACTTCCGTTATTTGGTATGATTGCATTCACATCAGAAGTGAACTGTACCAGAATTCACATGAACCGTACCCCAGACCACCTCTTTCAGGCGGACTCAGGTACGGTTCATGGGTGCGCATCCAAGTTCAGAAAACATGTTCACACTAGCTAAACATACTGTACTATGACGTCAAACAAACCCAGGTGTGGACTGAAAGTGCCAGTGTGAAAGCACCCTAAAGCAGGTCGCACACCAGAAGCGCCACGACACGGCGCGCACATGACAGTATAAAGTATTACACACCAGACGCGCACATTCACATAATATTTAACATGAAACTGATCAGATGGCGCTCTGTGGGGCGACTGAAATATGAACTGCGTCCTGAGTCGTGGCTGGGCGCTGCCGACAGCCGCCGACTTGCGGCGCCGGTGTGTACACTGATAGAAACCTATGTTTAGAATTTTAAAATACATGGCGCTGCACGACGCCGAGCGACGTTTCTGGTGTGCGACCAGCTGAAATCATTTATATCCAGTAGATTCTGCGCTACCTTTATGATGTGACATGGTTAGACTTTTGATTCTAGAGACACATTTGACTGTACAGAGCTTTTTTGACACAACAGCATGGAGATCTTTAACCATCTAATCACTGAAATTAGCAAGTTGTCTAGAAGTGGCTAAGTCAACTTGGATGAGTGAGCAATCTGCAACCAGAATATTTAAGTATTAGCTAACTCAACATCCTCTGACTAACTTTAGGATGTCGACATACTGTCTGAGAGAAGACATGCAAAACCCGGACTGTAAAAGTCTGAGCAATGTTTGGTCCCTAGTGAACGCATAACTGAAGAGTATGGGAACAGATATAAATCAAAACTCTAAATTAAGTCATAAATGATGAATGTGATCCGTTCTTACAATTAGAAATACAGGCTAAATTTTAGGATCACTTAAAATTGGAGGCAGATTAAATTCAGAGCTAAAAAAACAAATATAAATAAATTCTAATAAATAAAATGCTTTTCAGAAGCACTAGAAAAGCTTACAATTATTATTTCCTCATTGGGCTAATAGATGGACTTCTACAGATGAAAGAAACACTTTGACTTACAGAGCTCTTTTGGAGGTTTTGATGACTGCTGATAGTCTGATGAGACACTCGTCTGATCTCTGGAATTTCTGAAGCTCAAACTCCTCCAACTCCTCCTCTGAGTTCAACAACACAAAGACCAGAGCAGACCACTGGGCAGGTGAAAGGTCAGCAGATGACAGACTTCCACTACTGAGGTAAAACTGAATCTCTTTCAGCAGAGTTTGGTCGTTCAGTTCATTCAGACAGTAGAACAGATTGATGGATCTCTCTGGAGACAGATTCCCTTCAAGTTTCTGCTTGATGTAGGCAATTATTTCCTCTTTGCTCTGGTCTCTGTCATTCCGCTGTGTCAACAGGCCTCGTAAGAGCTGTCGACTGGACTGGAGTGACAGACCGAGAAGGAAGCGAAGGTAAAGGTCCAGATGTCCATTCTCACTTTCCAGAGCCTTGTTCACTGCAATCTTCAGGAAATCAATCATTGTCTCATCTCTGCTTTTTTCTGCTTGTGTCTTGTCATTGTCTAGAATCAGATGTTGATAAAGGGCTGCAATGAACTCCTGAATGCTCAAGTGAAGAAAGCAGTACATGGTACCAAGAATGATTCCCGTCTCCTCCTTAAAGATCTGGGTACACATGCCTGAGTACACCGATGCCTTATAGACGTCAATGCCACAGTCTTTCAGATCGCTCTCATAGAAGATCACATTGTTTCTGTCCAGCTGCTGGAAGGCCAGTTTCCCCAGTGAAAGGATGAGCTTTGGATCCCAGGAGACATCTGCTGTGTTTTCTCCATCATACTTTCTTCTGCTCTGCTGGATCTGAAAGCGGAGAAAGTGTGTGTACATCTGTGTCAGAGTCTTGGGAGATTCCTGCAGTGTTTCAGCATGAGCCCTGTGTTTCAGTTTCAGTATGTTCTGGAGAACAGTGGCTGAAATCCAGCAGAAGACTGGGATGTGGCACATAATAAAGAGACTCTTTGACTGTTTAATGTGATCAATGATTTCTCTGGCCTGATTCTGATCTGTGAGTCTCTTTCTGAAGTACTCCTCCTTTTGGGCATCATTGAATCCTCGTATCTCTGTCAGCCGGTCGATACAGTCAGCAGGAATCTTACTGGCAGCTGCTGGTCTGCTGGTGATCCAGATGAGAGCAGAAGGAAGCAGATTTCCCTTGATGAGGTTCGTCAGGAGAACATCCAGAGAGACTGCTGAAGATACATCACCACACGTCTCATTACCAGCAAAGTTCAGAGGAAGACGACATTCATCCAATCCATCAAGGATGAACAGGACTTTGAATCGTGTGCTTCTTGTAAGGTTCAGTCTTTTAGTCTCTGGGAAAAACTGAGTTATGAGGTCTTTTAAACTTTGTCTTTCTTTCTCCTTTAAGTTCATCTCTCTGAATGGAAGAGGAAACATGAAGCTGATGTCTTGATTTTCTTTCCCTTCAGCCCAATCCAGAACAAACTTCTGCACAGAGACTGATTTCCCGATGCCAGCAACTCCTTTTGTCAGGACAGTTCTGATCTGCTCGTCTTGTTCAGCTGCTTCAAACAAATGTTTGCATTCAACCTGTATCTCTAGTGACTGATGACGTCTGGAAGCAGCTTCAATCTGTCTGATCTCATGTTCAGTGTTGATCTGTTCACTCGCACCCTGAGTGATATAGAGATCTGTGTAGATCTTATTCAGAAGTGTGGAGTCTCCTTGCTGAGCAATTCCTTCAAACACACTTTGATATTTCCTCTTCAGGCTACATTTAAGCTGATTAATGTAGAGCAGCTCATCTAAACACAGGAGCAAAGAAACAGAGAGATTTAGTCTTGACTTTTCCAGCTATATTAGTAAGTGTCAGTCTGACAGATACCCATGAGTCTCTTACCCTGGAGAGTATCAGCAGCTTGATCTTGCTTCATCTCTCTCAGGAAGAAGAGTGTGAGATCAAGAGCTGCTTCTGTGATAATGCTTCTGTCCTCATTAAACTCCTTTACAAACTGTTTTCTGTCTTCTTCTTGTAAGATTTTCCTAAAGTTTTCCAGTTGATTGTTCAGAAATCTGATCATTTTGCTCTCAAGATTCTATGATTGAAGAAAAGAGAAGATCAATATTTAAATAAAACATTCATTAACATACAGTTGTGCGTCCACAAACTACTCAATAAAGACAAAAAGACATTATAATATGAGTCTGTTAAACGCTTGATTCTGATTGGCTGATAAACTTTGTAAGGTGTTGTTATTTTCAGATAAACACACAGCTAAAGCAGATTTGGCAGGTTTTGAGCACATGACAGTTTCATATCTCTACACTGAATGATTCCAGTAACTCCACAGTCAAAATCACATCAAAACACACAGAAAGCTTTGGATTTGTAAGAAACTAGTTTCACACACAGGAGAAGTTTGAGGACAAAAACCTGACAGATGTCTGGAACACAACATGGCGGCTTTAGCTGTGGGAACATCAGCATCCCAGCAAACAGATTTCAATTATTACATTTATATTTAAAAGAAGTCTAATAGATGTTTACCAACAGCCCAAAACTAGACTAGTCATCAGATATGCAGCAGTGTGAATCTGTCTGATCTGTGTATTTGATGACTAGTCTAGTTCTGGACTATAGTTAGATGTTTAGTAGATTTTTAGGTGTATCAGCTTAAATTTAGCCTTTTTTGGTCTGGCTATCATTGTTTAGACATCTATTAAAAACTGCAGAATAATTGACTGTGGTCTGTTGAATTATTAGAAAATAATACATAATAAATGTGTAACGTGTGTGAACTATTCACGAATAATTTAATGATTTGCAGTCAATTATTCCTCACTTGACAAATACTTTTTAATTCTTAACATCTTTAATTACATGAAAAATAACAGTTATAAATGAAATGTGTTGCAGAAGCAGGATCTTTTCCAGTAAACATTTTCTGTGTTATATTTACAATTTTAAATATGAATCAAAATGAGTTTTTCCTACCTGGAAGATCCACTGGAGATTGTCTGAATAAGAAACTAAATCTGCCACTAGGTGTCTGTAAATGAGTCAAAGTCATTGAGTCATTTGAGTCATTCACACAACTGATTCATTCCAAAGTGATTCTCTTTACTGAATTGTTGGTTCACAATAATATGCCTGAAACAATCCATGTGTGATCAATAATGTAAAACACAAAATACCTTCTGGCAGATGATGGTGTTTTCTCTCTGAGGTCTGGTGGTGGATAACCCATTGACCGGTCACTCTTCAGAGACACAGAGCTGGACACACATGATCCTGATCTCACACTGAACACACAAAACACACCAGAGGAATAAACTAGTACACCTTGGTACACCTTGTATTAAGACTGACAGATAAGACAATTATTGGGAAAACACACATTTCACCAGGCACAAAACTAGCACAAAGTAACTCTTAGCTCAAGGTCAGGCTGATCAGGTCTGTTAAACAGATTAGACTTACAGTTTGTACAGAAAGTATTCAGACCCACTCTTTGTTCTGTTGTGGCCATTTGCTAAAATAATTTAAGTTCATTGTTTCCTCATTAATGTCCACACAGCAGCCCATACTGACAGAACAACACTGAACTGTAGACGTTTTTGCAGATTTATTAATAAAGAAAAGCTGAAATATCACATGGTTCAGACTCTTTGCTGTGAACTCAGCTGCTGTCTGTTTCTTCTGATCCTCCTTGAGATGGTTCTTCACCGTCAGTTGAGTCCAGCTGTGTTTGATTACACTGATTGGACTTGATTAAAGCCACACACCTGTCTATATAAGAGCTTACAGCTCACAATGCATCTCAGAGCCAATGACAATCATGAGGTCAGAGGAACTGCCTGAACAGCTCAGAGACTGAATTGTGGCAAGACACAGATCTGGCCAAGGTTACAGAAACATTTCTGCTGCACTGAAGGTTCCTCAGAGCACAGTGGCCCCATAATCCTTTAATAGAAGATGTGTGGGACGACCAAACATTTTCCAGAACTGGCTAAACTGAGCTGTCAATAGATCTGTCAAATGCTCTGATCCACTGATTTACAACAAAATAAATGTAAAGGTATTGAAGCTTCATGAAGCAGCGCTCCAAAATCAGCCATCAGCTCTGTTTACTGCAGTACTCTTGTGGATTAGCAGTGTGTTACTCGTTCATGTACACTCAGAGCGTGTTTCGCTGGTGTGTGTTTTAATCTTCTGTGTTTATTGTTCGCTGTCTGGATATTGGATTACTCTTTGTGGATTACTCTTGATTATGATTGATTGCTTGTTTTGTCCCCTTGCCTGTCTAAAAGATACTCTGAATAAGAAACTAAAACCATCACTAGGTGTCTGTAAATGTCTAAATTCACCAAAAGTCATTGAGTCATTTGATTCATCCAAACAACTGATTCATTTACTAATATTGTTGGTTCACAATAACATGTTCAATACAGTCCAAGTGTGTTTAATAATGTAAAACACTAAATACCTTTTGACTGATGATGGTGTTTTCTCTCTGAAGTTTGGAGGACGATCATCTTTAGAGCAGTCACTCTTCAGAGACACAGAGCTGGACACACATGATCCTGATCTCACACTGAACACACAAACACACCAGAGGAATAAACTGCAGGACAAACTTCAGTCTCCTTTACAAGAGTTTATCAGCCAAATATGAGTTTGTTCAGTTTAATTCAGCACAGACTAATAGTTGACTGAAGATCTGTCTGTTGTCATGTTGAAATAATGGTGTAAAAACAGAGTCAATACCTGTGTATCTCTGAGAGAGAGTCCTTTACTCGCTCCTCTGCCATACTGCAGCTAAAACACCAATGCAGACATTAGCAGAGCTTTCAGGAAACAATCACACACACACACACACACACACACACACACACACACACACACACACATACATATATATATATATATAGTCCTTAACATGAATGCAGTTGGTTTAACCCTGATCTGACATCTCCGCTGTTTCACATTTGATTTAAGGTAAATGCATGTTATATAGAGTTTATCAAGAGAAGTTCAGGTTCAGCCAATTGTTGATTTAGTGAGTATTAAAATGTCTCTCTACTAAAGAGGCTCTTTGGTTAATGAGTTACTCTGACGGTCAAAGGTTAAATGCAGTGTTGTTTAAGGATCGTCAGCTTGTTGTTTTTCAGCAGCTTTTCTTCCTGTTCAACTGGAAGGTCTGCTTTAACTTTACTTTTGATTTGGTGACTCTGAATGTTTAGAGTTATATTTAATGCTGAATTATTGGACACTATTGAGTCAGTCTGATATAGAAGAGCACAAACACTGTAAAGGGATTAAAAATAAAGCTTTTAGACACAGTGTTTAAATGAGCGTGTTTGACTCAGTGTTTAATCTGTGTTTGAGGATTTGATCTTCAGGATCAGACATTTAAATCACACTCACACATATAAACCCTTCATCATCTCCACAAATCAGCGTAATGTAGAAGTGTTAAACTCACATGCAGAAGTACAGACGCTCTTGTGCAGCAGGAACACAATCTGAGCTCTTTCACTCTTTCACTTCACTAAAACACACCTGTGTGATCTACAGGTAGATCCTCAAATATTACTGGCTCCACAGAGTGACACTGACATGAATATTCATGAGACTCTCCTGACTGTGGGCGTGTCCTGAAGACGAGTGTGTTGAAGGAAGATTCAGAGAAGGTATTTAAGATGAAATCTGAGAGGTCTCTGATGAATATTTACAGCAATGTTGAACCTATAAAATAAGATTAGAGATTTCTATATAAATGAATAATGTTTAAACAGAGGACAAATCAAGAAAACCATTAAACAGCATTACATTCAGTTCAAATGTTGTAGTTTGTCTTTTATTTATTGTTTGCAACACATAATTTGAATGTACATATGTTATCTCTCTATTTCTGAAGGGGTTTTCAGACTCTTATTTTAATCAATATATCTGTTTATCGATACTTGCTATTACAGTACAGATGTTTAATACTATTTTTTATGGTCATTTTTCAAAATTCAGGATAAAAAGTCAATAAAAATATTGAAATAAAATAAAATAATTTTCCTCAGAAACTGGAAGACGGGGTTGATGTGTCTTGGTTGTGACAAATGATTTATTATTATCAGTAAAAAATCTTACTTAGCGGCTTTTATTCATTTATTTGTTCTTTTTATTATTTGTTTAAAGAAAAATAACATAAGTAAATGCATAGTTATACACAAATCATTATAAAGGGAATGTTAAATTAAATACAGATAACTTAATCATCTGAATAGATCTTTACAGTAACTCTGTATTGAAATCAGGGAATGATTAAAACCTTTAGATCGGTGTAAAAGAGTTGACAGATTCAGGATCAGTTAGCACATTGTGTTTAGTGAATGTGATGTTTTCCAAATAGTTTAACAGTTTTAGTTCACAATCCACAAACAAGATTATCTTAATCAGTTATAATGATCAATTTACAGAACACTGAAATATAATAATAAGATCACGAGAAACCAGAATAGTTTAGTGTAATCACAACTGAAACAGTCATTTAATAATAGTGTCTGACTCATTTTACAAATCTAACACATAAATCATTACTTGGCTAATATATATCTGTAAAATTTTAACATGGCTTTCCTTTACTTTATTAAGAGGTGGTTTCCTGGATCAAGATTAAGCGTAGTCCTAGACTGAAATGGCCATTTAGATCAGACTAACAGAAATGTGCTTTCTCTGTCACGGTTTTAAAAGTCTAAGACTCAGTCTAGTCCAGAACTGAATTGGCTGATTTCCTGGAGGAACACTAGAGCAACTTCAGGACTAAACTGAGGCTTAAATTAAACCTATCAGGAGGCAGGTTTAACTTCAGATTCATTTCATTTGGAGGACACATGGATTACCTGGACTATGTCAATGATGATCAGCGCTTTCCACCAGTCAGGCAAGTTCTTGCAGACAGAAGTGACCCAGTGCAAGTTTTGATGAATTAAGTGTTCGAGATGCATAAAGTAAACCATTTGTGAATTAAAAGCACATCACGTAAACCACCCTGATGCTGGAACCCAGGCTAACTACAAGGTACTGTTCAATGATTATGGAAATGTCTCAGGAGTCATCGGTTGCATAGAGGGAACCCATATTCCCATTAAGCGTCCATCTACTCCAGATGCGGAGGAATACAGGAACCAAAAGAACTGGGTTTCCATCAATGTCCAAGGTGTATGAACTCCCCAGTTAGAGTTTTCGAACGTTGCTGCATGGTGGAAAGGTGCAACTCATGATCCTCCTCAGCTCATCTCTGTATACTCAGTTTGACAGAAGAGATCATAATGGAGTTTTGCTTGGTGACAGTGGGCATGCTCAGAAGGATTTCAGCTACAGCCAGGCTCATATGCGCACAAGAGCTTTAGTCGAGCGCATGTTCGGTGTTTGGAAGAGTCGTGTTCAGTGCCTTAGGAAAACACTCAGATTGAAAGCAGGTAGATGCTGCACTGCTGCAGAGACTGTGGCATCTTCTGCTGATGCTCCAGTCTCTGAGGTGGCAGTAGAGTCTGAATCAAATACATTGACTCTGGCTGAAATTGTTGCAGGCGCTTCTGTTGTACCTGCTTCAGTTAATTCTGAGATAGATGGCATGAATGGTCACAGTGTTACGCCAGTATTGACAGAAAATATAGCAGTCACTGGAAAAAGCAACGAGGCTGGAAATGAAGCAGAAATGCAAACTGAGGCATTTTTCAAAGCTCCAATAAAGAGGAGAAAAGGCAGAGGTAAGACGACAATAACACAGGCCAAAGAAGACAAGAGCGAGACTGAAAGTGCAGTTTCAGACATTGACAGCGATTCTTCAGACTCCAATGATTCAGGCTGCTCTTTTCTTCATCACTAAATGAGGATGAAGAGCAGCCAGTGGTGTACAACACCGAACAACTAACTCAGCTTTCAAGAGAAACAAAGAGACTGAAGCTGAAGACTATTGTCCAGATCCATCTGCTCTTATAAGAGATGTAAAGCGGTGCATGAAGGAAGGAGCTTTCTGTGATCAGGACGTGTACCGTCTTAGAAAATCCATGATAAAAATGAGAAAACAAATGCGTGAAGATGAAGAACAGGACATGGTGTGATAGCTTCTTCTGTTTTTGACTGTTTCTATCATTTATGAGAGACATTAAGATTGGAGCTCTACACTTGAATAATGCTAGAAACAGTCAGAAGAGAATGTGTCTGTCTGAGTTTATAAAGATGAAACGTATTGATGTGACCTTCATTCAAGAGTCTCAGAGTGCTTTATTTAATGAAATAGACTGGAGAACAGAATGAGATGCTCAAGTGTTCATGAGTCACATGTCCTCTAATAGTGGAGGAGGAGCTCTATTGCTTTCACAGCAGTTTTCACCAATTCTATGTGGAGAGAAAGAAATAGTCAAAGGACGTTTATTACAAATTAAAGCAAAACTTGAGAATATTTTAATGACTTTATAAATATTTATGCTCCTACAAAAGCAGATGACAGAATAGATTTCTCCAATGCTTTTAGTGCTGTCCTTAAAGATATCAAATCAGAAGAGTTTTTCATTTGAACAGCACAGAGAATGAGAAGAGAGATCCAAATCACTCAGAAACACATCCTGCTTCACTAAAAGTGCTTCCACAATGAGTAAGAGTGTTTGATTTATGCGATGTGTGGAGGAATGATCATCATGAAAATAGACAGCACACTTGGGCACATAGTAAGAATCATTTTATTTCAATGGCAAGGCTTGATAGATTTTACATGTTTCATTTTCAAGCAGATTGTGTCAAAGATTGTAAAATAATTCCTGTTGGGTTTCCAGATCACTCTTCTGTTATTTGTACTGTAATTGTTAATTCTGTGAAGATTAGATTAAAATATAAAACATGATAAAGGTGATGACATTAAGTCCAACAGTAAGTCCACAAGTAAAGAGTTCCAGTTGTGTGTTGGAGACAGTGGAGCAGGTCATTGTGGGTTCCTCAGACGGTGGCAGGAGTGCACAAACTGAGCTGCTAACACACAGCAGCACACACACTCCCCCAGTAGGATGGGCAGTTTCTCATTGTTTGACAGGGACTTAAAGTTCTTTTTTGTGTGTGAGTTTCGGGTAGAACTTCTCCTGGATCTCTGAGTATTTTGTGCACTCAGTGAGGAAGTGCAGCTCCGTCTCCATCAGCTACTGAGGGCAGTGTGGGCACAGCCGCTCCTCCACCGGCAGCCATGTTTGTCTGTGCCGGCCCGTCTCTATAGCCAGCTGGTGTCCGCTGAGTCTGTATCTGCTCAGGGTGTTCCTCAGACCTTTATCTGTCACTGTGTGAAGGTAGTCTGCCAGAGTATATTGTCTCTTCAGGGCCAGATAACGCTGCATTCTGCTCTGCAGTTGTGTTTGAGTGTCCCAGTGGTGTGTGTAGCTGTTCTTGATCTGGTGTGTGATCTGAGTCAGTGGCAGGAGTGTGTTCAGCTCCTCAGGAGACGTCTCAGAGACCCTGAAGCTCTGGGCCAGCTGGGAGAGTGGGTCTGCTCTTCTGCTGAGTTCTCTGTCCTGCATGGTTTATAGTGGTATGAGTCCGGGTCGCTGA